GTTCTCTGTGTGTTAAGTGAACTAAGTGAAATAAATCAAAATGTCTGGTCGTGGAAAAGGTGGCAAAGTGAAGGGAAAGGCAAAGTCCCGCTCCAATCGTGCCGGTCTTCAGTTTCCAGTAGGCCGTATTCACCGTCTGCTCCGCAAGGGCAACTATGCCGAGCGTGTTGGTGCCGGCGCTCCAGTTTACCTGGCTGCCGTGATGGAATATCTGGCCGCTGAAGTACTCGAGTTGGCTGGCAATGCTGCTCGTGACAACAAGAAGACTAGGATAATCCCGCGTCATCTGCAGCTGGCCATTCGCAACGACGAGGAGTTGAACAAGCTACTCTCCGGCGTCACCATTGCCCAAGGTGGAGTTTTGCCCAACATCCAGGCTGTTCTGTTGCCCAAGAAGACCGAGAAGAAGGCTTAAACGTTCCAAAAGCAGAGCCAACTACATACTTGTACATAAAAACAAACCCAACCGTCCTTTTCAGGACGACCACGTTTTTACCAAAGAATTGTAAAGATTTTCAAATAGAGCGAGCAAAAGTATTTTTAATAAAATGGGTATTTTGAAAGAACGTTCATATTTCGGGTAAAAAAAATTGTTTGCAGCGAACATAATAATTTACTGCGATATTACCGAGTTTCTTTTCACTTCAAAATTCTAAGATGCTTGGGACTAATACGAATTTATGACAGAACGCTATCTGACGGATTAGCAATCCGGTTAGCCTGCATCTGAAGCAGTACAGTCTGCACAAAATACATTTAGGAGCTAGCTTTATCTTGAACAAAGCGAGTGGTTGCTTTGCCGCACATTTCTCTACCTGAATTAGCAACTGCCGAACGGCCGCGAAGAATATTTACCTACTTTGGAATTCTCAGCTAACAAAAGCAGAAATTCTAAAATGTTTTGAAAATTTGTCTCCTCTCGAAAACTTAATGGTGGTCCTGAAAAGGACCGATTGTTGAATGAAGTACAAGCTGTACTGTTTTTTTAACCGCCGAAACCGTACAGGGTGCGGCCTTGTCTCTTCAGGGCGTACACAACATCCATGGCTGTGACAGTCTTCCTCTTGGCGTGTTCGGTGTAGGTGACGGCATCGCGGATTACGTTCTCCAGGAACACCTTCAGAACACCACGTGTTTCCTCGTAAATGAGTCCAGAAATGCGCTTCACACCGCCACGACGAGCCAAACGGCGGATAGCTGGCTTCGTGATACCCTGGATGTTATCACGCAGCACTTTGCGATGACGTTTGGCGCCACCTTTTCCCAAGCCTTTGCCTCCTTTACCGCGACCAGTCATTATTCACTCTTTTCTATATAAACACACTGCACGAAAGTCACTGACGAACTAATTTCAATTTTTCGGCGTGCCCCTATTTATACCAAAAACCCAAGAAACCCGAGCGAGTGCGAACGATATGTTCGCCTCGCTCTTGGCTCGCCAAATGAAATGGCGTCTGCTCCTCTCTCTTTCCAACCCTCCACTTTTGCTATATAAGTAGGTAGCGATCGCGCCGAACGTTTATTGTGTTTTTAGACGTGAAGTGAACAGTAGTGAACATCCAAATCAATTATGGCTCGTACCAAGCAAACCGCTCGCAAATCGACTGGTGGCAAGGCGCCACGCAAACAACTGGCTACTAAGGCCGCTCGCAAGAGCGCCCCAGCCACCGGAGGCGTGAAGAAGCCACATCGCTATCGCCCCGGCACTGTGGCCCTGCGTGAGATCCGTCGCTACCAGAAGAGTACCGAACTGCTGATCCGCAAACTGCCTTTCCAGCGTCTAGTGCGTGAAATCGCTCAGGATTTTAAGACTGACTTGAGATTCCAGAGCTCGGCGGTGATGGCTCTTCAGGAAGCCAGCGAAGCCTATCTGGTCGGCCTCTTTGAAGATACCAACTTGTGTGCCATTCATGCCAAGCGTGTGACGATCATGCCCAAGGACATCCAGTTGGCCCGTCGCATTCGCGGCGAGCGTGCTTAAGTTGAGACTGCATCAACTGGCCACCATTGCGCTACCATATTTTATACAAATCGGTCCTTTTCAGGACCACAAAATACATTCAATGAGATATTTATTTTTATTTTACAAGCTTTTTTATTTTTAATTCATAAATATGTATTATGTTCGTTTTTTATTTCAGTTAATGATTCGTTGTGAAGGTGTGGTAGTTTCAAATGGCGTTACGATTGTATGTGCAAAGCACGAACTATAATAAACATTCAAACGTCATTAAAAAATTAAAAACTTTTAAAATCACTCTAAAATTCTTTGTTTATTTAATGAGTCAATAAATATATTAAAACAGATCACATTTTTATTTCGGTCTGTACTTGGTGGGATTTTTACAAGGGGTACGGTTGTATGGGACAAACACGAACTATATTAAACATTCAAACGTCGTTAAAAAATTGAAAAACTGAAAAACACATTCGGAAAATAACTTTGCAACGTTTATAAATTATTTATTTATTAAACAAAGACAACAATTTGTTGAACGAAACCAAGTTTATATTTTTATTTCGGCTTGAATATAGTGTGATTTTTATAGGGAGCAAAGTTGTGTGGAACAGGCACAAACCACTCAAATGTTATAGAAAAATCAAAAAACTGTTTAAATCACTCTAAAAATAACTTAGCAACGATTTTGAATCCTATATTTATTTAATAAAACATCAAATGTATTAAAAAAGATAGATTTTGTGTTTTTTATTTCGTTTGGTAATTGGTGGGATTATACAAGGGGCAAGGTTATATGGGACAAGCACGAACTTTATTGCACTTTTAAACGTCATCAAAAAAATCGAAAAAATGTTAAACACTTGCTGAATATAGCTTCGCAACGTTAACGAATACGTAATTTAATAAATAAAATAAAAAAGAATAACAATATAATAAAATTTAAATTTTTTTTGACATAATCTTCAATGTGACTTTAACTTGATTCATATATGAGGCACAAATAAGCCTCTTTTGGACAAACTACAAATAAAAACATCTGAAAAATGTAATCGACTAAAGCAAACAAATAATTTGCTTAAGAAAATCACAAATAACTATGAAATTTAAAAATATTTATATTTTTTTCATTCCGAAAACTATGGCTGCTTCTCCCTTGAAAGCCAACTTTTTAAGTAGCCTAGGCTCAACTTAAAACAAGTAATAAAATAACTTTTTAATGAAAAGTAAGTATATTTTCAGTGTTTCTTAAAGAAAAAAGTTTAAATTTCATTTTTAATTGACAATTGTACAAGTAATTGTTAGATTTCTTATTTTAAAATAGGTTTTAAAAAAAATTGCTCATGTTACAAATGTCAATGGTCAAGTTCATTCAGCTATAAAAGGTTGCCAAAACCAAATATTAAAATTTAAAAAATGCTAAGAACTTTATGGATTATTTAAGAATGTGAAAAAATAAATACTTTGTTTTTAATAAAGTTTTTAAACTCTAAATACAGGAAAATAAGTTTGCACTTCAAGTAAACATTTGCACAGCAAATGACTGGTGTCAGACCCATAGTTAAAGTGCTCTCCTCCTCGATTCTCATCCGAATGAAGGAGGTCGGCGGCAACGCGCGCGCCATTTTCTAAACAAAAAAGTGTTTTCGAGTGAACAAAGATGTCTGATTCTGCAGTTGCAACGTCCGCGTCCCCAGTGGCTGCCCCACCAGCGCCAGTTGAGAAAAAGGTGGCTGCCAAAAAGGCAACTGGATCTGCTGCCACAAAGGCAAAGAAGCCGACTGCACCACCATCGCACCCGCCAACTCAGCAAATGGTGGACGCTTCAATCAAGAACTTGAAGGAACGTGGCGGCTCTTCGCTTCTGGCAATTAAGAAATATATCACTGCCACATACAAATGCGATGCCCAAAAACTGGCTCCATTCATCAAGAAGTACTTGAAATCGGCCGTGGTCAATGGAAAGCTGATCCAAACAAAGGGAAAGGGTGCGTCTGGTTCATTTAAACTGTCAGCCTCGGCCAAGAAGGATCCCAAGCCAAAAGTTGCGTCTGTTGATAAAAAGGTCAAAAGCAAGAAGGTAGCCGTTAAGAAGACCGGTGTCACCGCCAAGAAAGCTGCCGGAGCTGCTGACAAGAAGCCCAAAGCTAAGAAGGCTGTGGCTACCAAAAAGACCGCCGAGAAAAAGAAAACCGAGAAGGCAAAAGCCAAGGATGCCAAGAAAACTGGAACCGTGAAGGCAAAACCAGCAGCAACAAAGGCCAAAACTACCGCAGCGAAACCGAAGGTGGCCAAAGCACCCAAGGTCAAACCAGCGGCGTCAGCTAAGCCCAAAAAGGTGATAAAGAAAGCAGCTGCTCCTGCTACCGCTAAGAAGCCGAAAGCAAAGACTACGGCTGCTAAGAAGTAAACTGGAAAAGTACAGTATCTGTACCAGTCCGCGCTCAAAATCGCAATTTTAGATTTTCAAATCTGAAATTTATTTAAACAAGCCCTTTTCAGGGCTACAACATTCGTTAACAAGAGAAAAAAACTTTCAATTCAAAAACATTCAAATTATAGTCATTAAGCTTATAAATCAATTAATTTATACAAATTTAATATTTTTTTAATTGACAAATTGTGCTGCTGGTAACATCTTTAAATTTAATTTAATATTGCTGACCAAAAGTTAGCAACGCAGTGCAATCTAGGTTGAGGCGATTTCTTCTTGGCATGCCCTTTTCCATGCATAAGAATAATATAATAATAATTATAAATTATATAGCGTAGCTTAGGTATATATCCCTAATTTTTAAAATATAAAAACAAAGACTAATTTTATCGTTACATATTTAGGACAAATGGTATATTGAAAATGTAGTTTCTTTTGGTAATATATTTTGTGGCCCTGAAAAGGGCCGTTTTGGTTCTTTCTCCGCATACGCAGCAAGAGATATTTACTTGGAGCTGGTGTACTTGGTGACAGCCTTGGTTCCCTCACTGACAGCGTGCTTGGCCAACTCTCCGGGCAGGAGCAGACGGACAGCAGTTTGGATTTCCCTACTGGTGATTGTTGAGCGCTTGTTGTAGTGAGCCAGACGAGAAGCCTCGGCAGCAATACGCTCGAAGATATCATTCACAAAGCTGTTCATGATGCTCATCGCCTTCGACGAAATGCCGGTGTCAGGGTGGACCTGTTTCAGGACCTTGTAAATGTAGATGGCATAGCTCTCCTTCCTCTTGCGCTTCTTCTTCTTGTCGGTCTTGGTGATGTTCTTCTGAGCCTTGCCAGCCTTCTTGGCTGCCTTTCCACTGGTTTTCGGCGGCATTATTTATATTCACTTATGATTTCACAAACACAATTCAGTGATCATAACGGAGCGAAAACGCGTTCATGTTTATACTTTTTTTCGAGCAATCTTTTCAGGCCTAAGGAAACTACCCCTAACTGAACGCACAAGCAGACGAAAAAGTATAAATATGTGGCTTCCATATGTTTACTAGCATTCGTTCTCTGTGTGTTAAGTGAACTAAGTGAAATAAATCAAAATGTCTGGTCGTGGAAAAGGTGGCAAAGTGAAGGGAAAGGCAAAGTCCCGCTCCAATCGTGCCGGTCTTCAGTTTCCAGTAGGCCGTATTCACCGTCTGCTCCGCAAGGGCAACTATGCCGAGCGTGTTGGTGCCGGCGCTCCAGTTTACCTGGCTGCCGTGATGGAATATCTGGCCGCTGAAGTACTCGAGTTGGCTGGCAATGCTGCTCGTGACAACAAGAAGACTAGGATAATCCCGCGTCATCTGCAGCTGGCCATTCGCAACGACGAGGAGTTGAACAAGCTACTCTCCGGCGTCACCATTGCCCAAGGTGGAGTTTTGCCCAACATCCAGGCTGTTCTGTTGCCCAAGAAGACCGAGAAGAAGGCTTAAACGTTCCAAAAGCAGAGCCAACTACATACTTGTACATAAAAACAAACCCAACCGTCCTTTTCAGGACGACCACGTTTTTACCAAAGAATTGTAAAGATTTTCAAATAGAGCGTAGAGCCAACTACATACTTGTACATAAAAACAAACCCAACCGTCCTTTTCAGGACGACCACGTTTTTACCAAAGAATTGTAAAGATTTTCAAATAGAGCGAGCAAAAGTATTTTTAATAAAATGGGTATTTTGAAAGAACGTTCATATTTCGGGTAAAAAAAATTGTTTGCAGCGAACATAATAATTTACTGCGATATTACCGAGTTTCTTTTCACTTCAAAATTCTAAGATGCTTGGGACTAATACGAATTTATGACAGAACGCTATCTGACGGATTAGCAATCCGGTTAGCCTGCATCTGAAGCAGTACAGTCTGCACAAAATACATTTAGGAGCTAGCTTTATCTTGAACAAAGCGAGTGGTTGCTTTGCCGCACATTTCTCTACCTGAATTAGCAACTGCCGAACGGCCGCGAAGAATATTTACCTACTTTGGAATTTTCAGCTAACAAAAGCAGAAATTCTAAAATGTTTTGAAAATTTGTCTCCTCTCGAAAACTTAATGGTGGTCCTGAAAAGGACCGATTGTTGAATGAAGTACAAGCTGTACTGTTTTTTTAACCGCCGAAACCGTACAGGGTGCGGCCTTGTCTCTTCAGGGCGTACACAACATCCATGGCTGTGACAGTCTTCCTCTTGGCGTGTTCGGTGTAGGTGACGGCATCGCGGATTACGTTCTCCAGGAACACCTTCAGAACACCACGTGTTTCCTCGTAAATGAGTCCAGAAATGCGCTTCACACCGCCACGACGAGCCAAACGGCGGATAGCTGGCTTCGTGATACCCTGGATGTTATCACGCAGCACTTCGCGATGACGTTTGGCGCCACCTTTTCCCAAGCCTTTGCCTCCTTTACCGCGACCAGTCATTATTCACTCTTTTCTATATAAACACACTGCACGAAAGTCACTGACGAACTAATTTCAATTTTTCGGCGTGCCCCTATTTATACCAAAAACCCAAGAAACCCGAGCGAGTGCGAACGATATGTTCGCCTCGCTCTTGGCTCGCCAAATGAAATGGCGTCTGCTCCTCTCTCTTTCCAACCCTCCACTTTTGCTATATAAGTAGGTAGCGATCGCGCCGAACGTTTATTGTGTTTTTAGACGTGAAGTGAACAGTAGTGAACATCCAAATCAATTATGGCTCGTACCAAGCAAACCGCTCGCAAATCGACTGGTGGCAAGGCGCCACGCAAACAACTGGCTACTAAGGCCGCTCGCAAGAGCGCCCCAGCCACCGGAGGCGTGAAGAAGCCACATCGCTATCGCCCCGGCACTGTGGCCCTGCGTGAGATCCGTCGCTACCAGAAGAGTACCGAACTGCTGATCCGCAAACTGCCTTTCCAGCGTCTAGTGCGTGAAATCGCTCAGGATTTTAAGACTGACTTGAGATTCCAGAGCTCGGCGGTGATGGCTCTTCAGGAAGCCAGCGAAGCCTATCTGGTCGGCCTCTTTGAAGATACCAACTTGTGTGCCATTCATGCCAAGCGTGTGACGATCATGCCCAAGGACATCCAGTTGGCCCGTCGCATTCGCGGCGAGCGTGCTTAAGTTGAGACTGCATCAACTGGCCACCATTGCGCTACCATATTTTATACAAATCGGTCCTTTTCAGGACCACAAAATACATTCAATGAGATATTTATTTTTATTTTACAAGCTTTTTTATTTTTAATTCATAAATATGTATTATGTTCGTTTTTTATTTCAGTTAATGATTCGTTGTGAAGGTGTGGTAGTTTCAAATGGCGTTACGATTGTATGTGCAAAGCACGAACTATAATAAGCATTCAAACGTCATTAAAAAACTTTTAAAATCACTCTAAAATTCTTTGTTTATTTAATGAGTCAATAAATATATTAAAACAGATCACATTTTTATTTCGGTCTGTACTTGGTGGGATTTTTACAAGGGGTACGGTTGTATGGGACAAACACGAACTGTATTAAACATTCAAACGTCGTTAAAAAATTGAAAAACTGAAAAACACATTCGGAAAATAACTTTGCAACGTTTATAAATTATTTATTTATTAAACAAAGACAACAATTTGTTGAACGAAACCAAGTTTATATTTTTATTTCGGCTTGAATATAGTGTGATTTTTATAGGGAGCAAAGTTGTGTGGAACAGGCACAAACCACTCAAATGTTATAGAAAAATCAAAAAACTGTTTAAATCACTCTAAAAATAACTTAGCAACGATTTTGAATCCTATATTTATTTAATAAAACATCAAATGTATTAAAAAAGATAGATTTTGTGTTTTTTATTTCGTTTGGTAATTGGTGGGATTATACAAGGGGCAAGGTTATATGGGACAAGCACGAACTTTATTGCACTTTTAAACGTCATCAAAAAAATCGAAAAAATGTTAAACACTTGCTGAATATAGCTTCGCAACGTTAACGAATACGTAATTTAATAAATAAAATAAAAAAGAATAACAATAGAATAAAATTTCAATTTTTTTTTGACATAATCTTCAATGTGACTTTAACTTGATTCATATATGAGGCACAAATAAGCCAAAAGAGGACAAACTACAAATAAAAACATCTGAAAAATGTAATCGACTAAAGCAAACAAATAATTTGCTTAAGAAAATCACAAATAACTATGAAATTTAAAAATATTTATATTTTTTTCATTCCGAAAACTATGGCTGCTTCTCCCTTGAAAGCCAACTTTTTATGTAGCCTAGGCTCAACTTAAAACAAGTAATAAAATAACTTTTTTAATGAAAAGTAAGTATATTTTCAGTGTTTCTTAAAGAAAAAGTTTAAATTTCATTTTTAATTGACAATTGTACAAGTAATTGTTAGATTTCTTATTTTAAAATAGGTTTTAAAAAAAATTGCTCATGTTACAAATGTCAATGGTCAAGTTCATTCAGCTATAAAAGGTTGCCAAAACCAAATATTAAAATTTAAAAAATGCTAAGAACTTTATGGATTATTTAAGAATGTGAAAAAATAAATACTTTGTTTTTAATAAAGTTTTTAAACTCTAAATACAGGAAAATAAGTTTGCACTTCAAGTAAACATTTGCACAGCAAATGACTGGTGTCAGACCCATAGTTAAAGTGCTCTCCTCCTCGATTCTCATCCGAATGAAGGAGGTCGGCGGCAAGCGCGCGCGCCATTTTCTAAACAAAAAAGTGTTTTCGAGTGAACAAAGATGTCTGATTCTGCAGTTGCAACGTCCGCGTCCCCAGTGGCTGCTCCACCAGCGCCAGTTGAGAAAAAGGTGGCTGCCAAAAAGGTAACTGGATCTGCTGCCACAAAGGCAAAGAAGCCGACTGCACCACCATCGCACCCGCCAACTCAGCAAATGGTGGACGCTTCAATTAAGAACTTGAAGGAACGTGGCGGCTCTTCGCTTCTGGCAATTAAGAAATATATCACTGCCACATACAAATGCGATGCCCAAAAACTGGCTCCATTCATCAAGAAGTACTTGAAATCGGCCGTGGTCA